AAGGTGCATCATCCATTGTGCTCCCCGGTCGTGGGACGACGCCCGTCTGCCTCCGAGCCCCGGCCAGCCCGGCCCAGGTCGGCGACAATTATCTTCTGGCCGCCGAAACCGACGAAAATGTACTCCAGCAGAGGTCGCCGATTGAGGAGGGCTCTGTCCCGGGTTTGAGGCGAGGAGAAGTATGTGAAAGAGGGAGAGAGAGAGAGAGTGTGTGTGTGAGTTTGTGTGTGGCAGACGTCTGGGTCAGGGGGTTCAGAGGAGGAGGAGAGTGACCAACGATAGAGGACTCTGGAGGAGAGCGTCCAGCTGGAGGAGTTGTCGCCTGTTGCCAAATACCACGCGCGCTGGCCAGGAGGGTCCGGGCCCCGTGCCGGGCCAGGGCGTGGGGATGTGTTGCAACACGGCCGAACCGATAACGACGTATTGTGATGAGGGGCCAGCTGCCTACGGTGATGAGTAAGCGGAAGACAGAGAGGGAGCGAGAGACAGACTGAGTGAGAGAGAGAGAGAGAGGGGGGGGGCGGGGGCTGATAGGGTTATGATGCACGCCAGTGTGCCTCCTTTCCAACGCGGGAGTGTGTGTCGGGGCCACCGCACCACGCCGGGCGTGGGAGGCCGGGGGCTGGTGCAAAGACTGTCGCACTCGCCATGTGCGCTGCCCACCGGCCCCGCCCGGCCCCGCCCGGCCCCGCCGCAGAGTAGTGGGCGCGGGCGGCCGCGAGTGTTCGACACACGTGCGCATGAGAGCAGGCAGCAGCAGTGCGTGTTTGCTTGTTGAGTGCGCCCCCGCTCCCCCGGGGGGGATTGCTCTTCCCCGCGGTGCGTGGGCGACCCCCCGCCGCCGCGGCCAACACCACTGGAGCAGTGTCGCACACACACACACACGACCTCCCGGGCTTGGCGCCATCATCGCGGGGAGTCCGCAGCGGCGGCCGTGCGGCGTGGCCCGGCAGGTGTAAACCATAGCTCTGTATGCAAAGCGCGCGGCGAGAGGGTCGGCGGCGGTGCGTGTCGGGAGAGAAAGAGAGAGGGAGATTGGTGGCGGTGATGATCGGGCGGGACGGGTACGCGGAAGTGGTCGGCGCCGCCGCGGCCTTCACCTTCAGTCAGTCAGGGTCGCCGCCGGGCCTCCGAGTGCCGCTGAACCAGATGCGATGCTGCTGCCCCTGCTGCTGTCCCTGCTGCTGTACTAATCGCCGCGCTTGTTTGTCCTGTCCAGGTCTCCTGATCGGCGCACTAGCGCTGGCCGTTGCCCAGCCCGAGGGTTACGACTACCCCAAACCGTCCATCGCCTTCGAGGATGGCCCCGTCAAGCTGCCGCCTCCTCCTCCGCCGCCGCCAGTCAGGCTGCCGCCTCCACCGCCGCCCGTCGTGGTCGTGAGGCAGCCGCCGCCACAGCCGCGGCCGCCTCCGCCGCCGCCGCCCCCTGTGACCCCCAAGGCCGAGGGGTACTTCTACAACAAGCCTACTGAGGGCTACGTCTACCCCAAGCCTGTTGTCAGGCTCGAACTTCCCAAACCTACTCCCCCACCAACGAGGCCACCCCCACCCCCGCCTCCA